GTACTGTAAATAGTTAAGGGCTGTAATTTTAGTATGTTTTAGCCAGAAGTATATACTGTGAATGTACATTTATAAAATTTTATATTTTCAAACAAGTTATTAATATTTTTAGACAAATTATCAAACTTTGTCACTTGCACGTGTCGAATCCAAATATCAATATCCTAGTTTTGAAATATTTTAATGAACATGCATTATTTTGGCATGGGCAATTTTTTAAATTGGAATTTTATATGTGTCGGGATAATGGGTATTCAAGGAATGAGGACATCTTCACCTTTCATAGATGTCCACTTTATTCCTTATTTTCTTAGAATTTCTTAGGTATTTATAAATATTTAACTATGTATCTTCTTATCCCAGGTGACAGTGATTCCGAGTTATCCGACAAAAAGGGCTTGGAAAAATTCATGGGGCCAAAATTGAATTGTCTTCAGTGCGATCGCCAATTTAATCACAGGAACAGTCTTATGTATCATATTCAATCCCACAGTGAAAAAAGGCCGTACCAGTGCGAAATTTGCGGAAATAGTTTCTTTGCCACCAGTGCCTTGAAGGTAATTAAAGATAAAAAATTAAATTCTACATTTTTTTTACCCAAAAATTTTTTATTACCAGGTTCATATGCGCCGTCACTCCGGCGACAAACCCTACCAGTGCCGGATTTGTCTAAGGCATTTCAGGCAATGGAGCGATTTAAAATACCACATGGTCTCCATACACTCCGACATCAGGCAATACCAGTGCGAATTTTGCGGAAAAGATTTTGCCAGAAAATATTCCCTGATTTTACATCGGAGAATACACACCGGCGAGAAAAATTATAAGTGCGAATTCTGTAACAAGACTTTTAGGGCCAGTTCTTATTTGCAGAACCATCGGAGGATACACACAGGTAAAATAATAGACACATGGTAATAGGATTTATATTTATATTTATATTTATTAGGGTGGTCCTTAATATGGACATTTTCGAATTTCCTTGCTCCCAAGGGCTCAAATGGTTCCAAATTGATAAAAAACAATTCTCTGAAAGTTTTAGCTCTTAATATTAACGTTTAAATAGAGCGCAATTCAATCAAAGTTTTGTATGGAAATGGCATGAAAATTTTTTCAAAAATTTTGCGGAGCGTCGAATTTTCAATAAAAAATGACACGAATTTTCACTTTAAATTCATTTGTCGCTAAGTTATAACTAAAAAAAAATTTTTTTAATTTTCAAAAATTTTTCTATGCTATTTTCATACGAAGTTTGCGCACTATCTAAAAGTTACATATTAAGGACCACCCTAATATTTATATTTAAATTTATATTTTGCATTTATATTCATATTTATATTTATATTTATATTCATATTTATATTTATTTATAATATATTTATAGGTATATGATATTATATTTATTTTAGATTTATATTTATATTTATATTTATCTTTATATTATATTTATATTTATATTTATATTTTAATTTATATTAATTTAGTCTTTATATTATATTTATCTTTATATTTATTTTATATTTATATTATCTTTATCTTTCTATTTCTATTTATATTTATATTTATATTTATATTATATTTATATTATATTTATATTATATTAACTTCCCGTAGGGTAGATATAGTAATGGGCCGAAAATCGAAAATGAAAATTTTTGCATTTCTCGACGTTCTGAAGGTTTCTGAACATTTTACTGGCATACCTCAGAAAAAATTGATGTGTGTGTGTGTGTGTTTTGTATGTCCGCATTTTTTCGTCCACGTTTTCGGGCGCACGGATCAACCGATTTGAATGGTTCAAAAAACATTCGATTCCTATTGATAGGGAGATGTGCTGATTAGTTTTTGGTAAAGGCAGGTCCAGCCGTTACGGAGATACAGAGCAAAGAGTGCACAAAATAGAAATCGAGTTTTTGAGAGAACGGAGTATCGGATTTGAATGATCTAAAAAACATTAAGTTCGTAATGATTGGGAGAAGAGGTGATTAGTTTTTGGCAAAGACAGGTCCTGACATTTCGAAGATACAGAGCTAAATGTGCAAAAAATGGCAGTTTTTGAATGAACTAAGCGTCCGATTGGAATGATCTAAATAACTTTCTGCTTGTTTCAACAAAATAATTGCTTTTGGAAAAAAAATATTTCTATTTTTTTTTTCAAAAAATATTTTTGTAATTTTGGATTAAAAAATTCAAAAAATCACCCAGACTAAGCACAGTCTAAGCGCCACTCTGGTACAAATGTCTACCCAGGTGCGTTTAGACTGTTTATGTACTGGAGCACTTTTTCAGTTTTGTGAAAACTATTGAAAAATGTGAAAATGCCGCCAAGCTAAGCACAGTGTGAGTGAAAATGTCGCACAGAATTATTTGCAAGTGCGTTTAGACTGTGACTATACGGGAGCACTTTTTCAATTTTGTGCAAATTAGGAAACTAATTTTTTTTTTTAAATTGAATTCGAAATGTAATGACGATTGTTAATGTTCTGGAGATAAATTGATTTATGATTTATGATTTACATTTGATTTGCTCGGATATAACAAGATAGCAAAAATAATGAAAGTTACAGTATTTGTAATAATATATTTGAAAACATTTAAAATTTCTCGAATATTTCATTACGGTACAGGAAGTTCCAGCAATTTGCCTTAAGGCTCGATGCCATACACCACTAGTTATATTTATATTAATGTGACCTGGTTCTTTTTTAGGTGAAAAACCTTACCCTTGTGAAATATGTGGAAAGCCCTTCCGTGTCCGAGGTGATATGAAGAGGCACATGTCGACACATACCAGAGAAAGATCTGCGAATGGTAATTGCAATGGACAGACTTCCAAAACTGTAACCAAGAAAGAAGATTTGAAGATCGAGAACAAAGATACCAGTGGGGATGCTGCACAGGATTCCAAGATCGATCTGAGTTAGTATATATAATTTCCAAAAGTTGGCTAAAACTTAATTTTTACTAACGTTTATTTTTGTTATTTATTACAGATACAAATGGGTTGTCCACCAAGTCATCAGAATCCAGTACTAATAATAAGATGCAACAGCAGTTCACGATGGATGACAGTAATAGTTCGGGTTCTAAATTGCATAATATGAAAATGGAGATTATTGATAGTACTAATACGAAGTATATAGATGCCAATCAATTACAGGTGAATTGAAAACAACAAAAAATTACTTACTATACTATAAAATTCTTTTTTCTGATGCTGCAAGTTTAAATTTGTGAGGAAAAATATTTTTTTAATATTTATTTT